AAAATTTGAAGCCCATAATTCTACAAAGTTTCTGAAAATAGAAAGATTGCAAAGTCTCCTTTAGTCTTAGCTCACTTTTTAGTGATTCACCCATGCAGATCTCTTGGCAATGGTGCAGAAGTGGATTATCACTATATTTTCCCAGGTTTTTTTTCAAATTCCTGGTTTAGCCTTGGAATTCCAGTACTAACCCAACTCTGCTTAATTTCTGACTCAAGGGGAAATCAGCTTGTTATCTAAATAATCGAACTGGTTATAAACTTAAAAACTTTTAGGAATGAATTAGACCATTCCTTCAATAGCAATGTGTAACTCAATCTACTTATTAATAAAAATTGGAGCATGGCTTAAACTTACTCAGTAGCTGAGACAAGTAAACTTAAGGCATATTGTCTTTAAAATCTGGATGTGAAATTTAGAACTCTCCTTTTTCTTAAGTCGCAGATCATAAATTTTGCCTAATATTTGATGTCTTGAATTGTGGCATCCCCTGGGGAAGGCTTTCATGTCTACTACGAAAAGATTCAACAAGACTTCTTGAAAAGCCAATATAGTAGCCAACTGTCCTTTCAAATTTTTAGAAAGAGATAATAGGCTGATTTTCCTGAGGCTGCCGGACAAAAATTGCATAAAATACTTTCTTCCAAATGATTTGATCTGGATGAATGTTGGTGGATGTTCTGCTTTCAGTTTGATTTTTCACAGAAATATTAGAGAGAGAAGTAGGAACAGATAACCACACATTTACATCATCTTCAGAATCAAGGAGGAAAAAAAGGTTATGGGATTTTTCCAAAACTGTTTCCCTTTGAAGCTTTTGTTTTGATTTGGAAAAGGAATTGCACAGTATCAGATTACATACGAAACCATATTTTCCACTGCTAAATTTGCCCTTGAGAATTGGATCTCTAACAAATGATCAGATTCTAATTCTAATTAGAATTAATTCTAATTCTAACAATGAAAGCCTCATCACTAACATTTTGATAGAAAAGAGATATCTTTCCATTTTTCCCTAATCCACAAAATTTGAATCTTTTAAATCCCAAAGAGGTGGGCACCACCTAGGCACCATAGCTTCATAGTTTTCTTCTGCAATGTGGACATATGAAGACTACTATTTCTCCTACCATTATTAAGTAACAGCCTTTCCTCATTGCTGTTTCAATAAGAAGTTCAAATGCTGGGCTAGAAAGCTGGCTTGTTTGACTGAAGCAGAGTGAAGATTTATCACCTTGCAGTTGAGGGCTGCAATTAAGGATCTTGTCGAAAAGCATAACAAGGATGTAAACAGGTAGGGCTGAGACATCAAACTTCCCTTTTTTTTAATTTGAGAGAGATGTTCTGAGATTTCTCTTCTTTTCTAAAGCTGGACTAAAGCTGAATTTAGGCTTACAGTAACGTTTTTGTGCGTTTCCTGCTTCAAAATGGCAGCGAGCCTTACCATCAATTTTCAGCAATTATGGCCAAAGAGGTTCAGCCAGAGGGGACAGGCCAGCCAAAATTCAAGATCTGGTGGCCACAATTTACACACACCTAGTCTAAAGAATCAGACATAACACTGAAAGGCAGTTAATTGGAAATGCAAAGGGAAGTACTCCAAAATAAACCTCTTTTTTTGTAATCAAGGAATACAGCTTAAGGCAATCAGAGTGTTTATTGCTTTTCAAGAGTTCAAAATGATGTGACTTTCATTTCCTTGCCAGCTATAGTATATAAAAAGTGCAGCTAGCAAACAGAGAAGCCATACAATGCATTTGGACCATCTCTGCTCTTTTCCAGAGAATATGGATAGTCTTGTCAGATCCCAAAAGGCCATCCAAGGCCCACCTGTTCTCAGATTAAATACATCACTCTCAGTTTTAATATGCTGCCATCACAAAACATTTAGAAGTAAGAAAGTAAGGAGATATACTTTATTGCCAAGGCTGATCTCACTAAGCAAGTCAACCCTAGAGTCAGGTAATACAACTAAAATACTAAACTTTATTTCTAGGAAGTAATCTATTTACTTTTTTACCTGCCACCCTTAAATCTATTATTAATCAGTACTAGCCTTTGATCCCTTAACATGCAGAGAAAGGATAGAAACTCATTGATAATTCCTGTCTTTCTTATCTCCTCTTCCTTCCCATCCATACTAACATCAAATTTAAATACATACAAATCACCCTGCACAAATTTCCCCATTCCAACATTTGCAATGATCCTGTTAGAACAGTGATGGCAAACCTTTTAGACACCGAGTGCCCAAAAACTGTCCCACCCCCACTCCACCTCTGCCCTGCCCCCACCCACCCACAGGGCCACCCACCACCTCCATGGCCCACCGCAGTTCGCCATGGCGGCCCAGCAGCGCCATGGCGGCCACGCCCTCCACCCGTGCCCTGCAGCATCATCTGTTTGTGACAGGGCACAAGGGCAGAGTCTTGTTCCCACTGCCCAGCTGCCATGTCCTTGGCTGCACTGCTCCAGGCGGGCCATGCCTGGGGGTGACTCTCCTCTGGGGGCACTGCTGGTGTGGAGGGGGCCGTGGGGGGAGGCAGGGCTGGGGCGACAGCAAGTGTGCCCACAGAGAGGGCTCCGAGTGCCGCCTCTGGCACTCGTGCCATAGGTTCACCACCACTGTGTTAGAACTTCCTTTTTTTCACAGAACTAGGCTCCCTTAATGACTCTGGAGAGTCTCAGTCATCCAGGTCACGGTTGTCCCAAAGGTGCTTTTTCAAAAGGCAACTGGAGTTTGTTTTGTTTTTCCAAAAAAGAAGGAACACCAGATGCCTTTTCAAAAAGCACCTTTGGGATAGGCTCCCTTAGGACCATTAATTTCTGTTGGGATAAAAACTAACAATGACTAGAAAGAGAGTTGAGGGTCTAAATATCCTTCCCCCTCTCCTCCCAGTTCTAATTTAAGTTGATGACCAAAAAAAAAAAAAAATTCTTTCCAAATTTCTTTCAAAGAAAAAAAAAACATGGTATTCTTTGCACCTTTTAATTCTAGGAATTATATTCTAACATAGGAGGAAATCTGTGTCAGAAGAAGAAAATTCACTGTAGACAAATGGATGAACATGGCAAACATTCCATGTACCTTTAAATGTTCCTCCTTTCTTTCCTGTTCTCTCCAACAAGGACTCAATAATGAATCACAGATCTCAACTCTGATTCATAGACATTTTGTGACTTAGCTCAACGTCTTGGCTAGACAGCAGAACACTGACAGACAAGGCTTGACTGGATTAGAATCTTTATTGCAAACAAGAATGAAGCCAGTTAACTGCTAAACTCCTGGCTTCTTTTCTTGACTTTCCTTGCAGTTGTGTGGTTGTTTTAGATTTACAAGTCTCTGGTCTGAGAACTGCTGGTTCCCACCTGGGTCTTCACATATATGCGTTTAATCTTCTTGTTCACTCTACAGGAAAGTCAGAGGAAAACAGGGGAATTAAACATGCAAGGCATTTGAGAAGATGCTGCTCTTTCTTGTCATAAAGCATCTATGCACATTGCTATTCAGATACAGGTAGTCCTTAAATTATGACCACAATTGAGTCCAACATTTCTGTTGCTAAATGAGGCAGTGGTTAAGTGAATTTTCTCTCATGACCTTTCTTGCCACAGTTGTTAAATGAATCATTGTAGCTGTTAAGTTAGTAACACAGTTGTTAAGGGAATCTGATTTCCCTATTGATTTTGCTAGTCAGAAAGTCTCAAAGGGGGATCGCATCACCTCAGGACGCTGCAGCCATCATAAATATGAACCAGTTGCCGAGTGCCTGAATTCTGATCATGTGATCGTGTGTGTGTGTGTGTGTGTGTGTGTGTGTGTGTGTGCTGCAATGCACGTAAGTGTGAAAAATGGTCGTAAGTCACTTTTTTCAGTGCCATTGTAACTTCGAACTTTTCTAAGTCTAGGACTTCCCGTACCATATTCTGAATATTCTCATGAAGGTAACAAAAGGCATCTACTTACTTTAGCTACTGAAGGGCAGAATTCCTGACTAGCAAGCTATAAACAGCTAAGGGAATTATTTAATTTATGGAATTAATTTAGTGACTTCACCGTGGCTTCAAAAATATGCCAAAAAAGAAACAGAGAAGGAACGAAGTAAATGAACCTGTCCACGCACCAGGAAGAAACTTCTTTCTTTGTGTTTCTTTGCCAGTTTGGTACCACAGATAAATCGTTGGATAAAGAAAAGCCAAAATCAAGTTTTCCACTAAACCATACCTCTAATGCAGTAGATTTAGTAAATTTCATTTTTTCAGGCCAACCTACGTTCCAAGTTAAAAATGGAACCAACACTTAGGCCCATCATATACCAGCAGCTTCTGGGAGAGAAAACAAGAGAAGCAGAAAAATGTGACAAAAAAATAACGATGACTTAGAACACCATAATAAACAAACACATAATGAACTCTGTCCCATGCTGTCATATTTGACAATGGAGAACTTTAATTAATTGATGCAGTAATCTCCAGAATCTGCATTCCAGCAAGGATAAGTGCCATTTATTGGAATAAGAAGGGGAAAGAATTTGCCCCATCCGGGTTTAAGTGCTCCATTTCCCTTGTCCACTGCATGAAAAGTCATTCAGGAAGAAGACCAAAAAACAGGTACACAAAGGGCTTTTTCCTACCAACTTTTCTAATCAGCTGCCCATAGAGCCCAAACTCCAAAAAGACCTATCTCTGATGGTCCCATTCCCTTAAGAACATCTTTCAGCTGGTCTTAAATAGTTAACTAATGACAAAACCTTTATATAGGGATGGGCAACTAGAGCAATTTATGACCTGTGAACTTCAACTCCCAGAATTCCTGAACCAGTCTGTCTCAGGAATTCTGGGAGTTGAAGTACAGAGGTCATAAATTTTCCATAGTTCCCCACCCCTGCCTTAATACAGGTAATCCCCGACTTACGGCCACAATTGAGCCCAACATTTCTGTTGCTGAGAGTTGTTGTTAAGTGAATTTTGCCCCCCTTTTACGAGCTTTCTTGCCACAGTTGTTAAGTGAATGACTGCATCTGTTAAATTAGTAACATGGTTGTTAAGTGAATCTGTCTTCCCCACTGACTTTGCTTGTCAGACAGTCGCAAAAGGTAATCACGTGACCCCAGAACATTGGAACCGTCATAAAGGGTCAGTTGCCAAGCACCACAATTTTGATCACTTGACCATGGAGATGCTGCAATGGTGGCCATGAGTCACTTTTTTCAGTGCCGTTGTAACTTTAAATGGCCACTAAATGATCTGTTGTAAATCGAGGACTACCTATAGATACAAAGCCTTGAAGAACCATAGAGCATTGCTTAAGAAAGAAGCTCAAAATATCAAACTGTGGATCTTACTTAATAAATACAGACTGATCCACTTTTTCATGCAGAGTACTCTTCAAAAGCCAAAATAAAGATGTGTTTCAACAACTGGGTTTACATTTAAGCAAACCGGTTGTGATTCTCTAACCCCTGCTTGAGATTTGCAGGGCAGAGACCTTAGAAATGCAAATACAATGAACATGGCTTGAACTATGTACCTGGACTACACTTATCTTTCAGCATTTGTCTGTGCTAAATTGAATGTACAGCTCAGGTAGCAAAGGGCCTTACAGAGCAGCTAAGTCTCTCCTCTTTCACTTTGCTTTCCAAAAAAAACTGACAAAGAGGAAATCAGATATGAAGGTAATTTTGACAAAGACCAGCTCAAGACAGTCACAAGCAGAGGCATTTCTGTCCAGATTCCTGAAATTCCATCAGAATGATGGCAAAGATGGGGAAAAAAATCCATATGCTATATATGGAAAGCCTCGCAGCACACAAAATATAATCAATACATTCTTACATCCCTGTCACTTCTCTATAGCAACTGTTGATTGACCGTATTGTGACGATACTTCTAATTTAAATTCCAATGATTAATATTGGGAAAATAGCAAAAGGTCTTATACTACGTCAGCAGCTAGTAAGTTATTTATCCCATGAGCTTTCATAGATCACTTAATCAAATGCATGCACGGTACCCTGAGAAAGGAAGATTATAATCATGGATTCCTTTTGGAGAGAGGGTACAAAAACTAACAGCTGAAGATAATAAAGATAGAAGTCAGAATTGCATTAGAAATCCACAAACATTTATTGATCAATTCATGGGGCTTTAATGATATTTTAAAATATCACACACTTTATTGTTTTTGCTACAAAGGACTAATGTGGTTACTGCTCCTTTGTCCATCATTAAAATAGGATGTTGTTTTAGATGAAAACCAATACTTCTGACTGCAAATACCTACTATTAGCCAACCACAGCACTCCAGAAGAAATTTTAGTATGCTTTTTTAATTTTTTAATTGGAAGCACTGAAACTACTGAGCAAAGCAGTACTAAGCTATGTGCCTTTCCCAAGGACTGCAGTTTTGTCTTTTTTACCTTTCAATGAAACTGGAAAATTAAGAAACATTACAAAGTTTGTCTATTCAACTCCTTTCACCAGCCCTCTCTGCCCTATCCTCATTTCTACAAAGAAAGAAGTTCTATAAGAAGAAAATCCAATTTTCCTTACATGAGAAATTTGATACATCTATGGTGAAAAAAATAATCCATTTCTCCCTTGCCACATTTTTCCTGTGTAGTCTTATCTCAACACAAAATAACGTGGAAGCATTTGAAATACTCTCTTACCCTTCCCAAGAGTATTAAGAGAACTAGTAACATACATCTTCTATTTACAGGAGATTATACTGTGGTGAACGACAAAAAAGAGAGCTTTTTTAAAACAAAAAACAAAAGCTTCCTAAACTTTTATGAGAAGTCAAGAGGAATCTGTATGAGTCAGAGAAAAGAGAATAAAATAATAATAACGACGACACAGGACCTGTGCATAAAAAGGATGTTATGAAGGCATCAGTCATGCTGGAGCATGATCCACAGTATGCAGTGATCTTGGCATTTGATGTGAGGATTGAACGAGATGCCCAGGAAATGGCTGGTAGTTTAGGGGTTAGAATCTTTAGTGCAGAAATTATATATCATTTATTTGATGCCTTCACAAAATATAGGCAAGACTACAAAAAACAGAAACAAGAAGAATTCAAGCATATAGCAATATTCCCTTGTAAGATGAAAATACTTCCTCAATTTATTTTTAATTCTCGTGATCCCATAGTGATGGGAGTCCTTGTGGACGCAAGTCAGATAAAACAAGGAACTCCAATTTGTGTATCTAGTAAAAATTTCATTGATATTGGAATAATTACAAGTATTGAAATAAATCACAAACAAATAGATGTTGCAAAAAAAGATAAAGAAGTCTGTGTAAAAATAGAATCAATTCCTGGTGAAGCACCAAAAATGTACGGTCAACATTTTGAAGCAACTGATATACTTGTCAGCAAGATTCGTCGTCAGTCCATTGATGCCCTGAAAGACTGGTTCAGAGATGAAATGCAGAAGTCTGACTGGTAACTTATTGTGGAGCTCAAGAAAGTATTTGAAATCATCTAGGTTCTGTCAAACTTTGAACAATGATTAGCTTATAATTATTATAATTGCAACCAAAGGATTTATCGATGTCCTCATACTCCAGTTTGTATTGATTAAAGAATTTAATTGACTAGTCCTTATGTTGTTGTTGTTGTTGAATTCTGAAGCATGCTAGGTAAACAATCACATCAACCTTTCAGCATATCATGCCAAATTTTAAATCTGCGCTGATGCAGAAATATACCAAGTTTTGTATGGGCCTACTTTTTGGCAGCTTAGAAATGGCTGACAAATGCTGACGTGATAAAGATGCCTGAAAGCCAACCTGTCCCATTCATAATTTTGCTAGTATTGCCACATTTTGGCCACATAGCCTATTTTAGTATACACCCTAGGCTTGGTATGCAAGAAAATATTGCAGCCACAACACTGCAACAAGCAGGACATGTGAGATAATCCTTAACAATCATTATCACGACAGAAAATTATGATCCTTAGGAAAGGAAGGTATCATCCATGACTGCATTCTAACCACTGCGTCACAATAAGAGCCTTGGGGGGCAGTGGTTAGAATGCAGTATTGCGGGCTAATTCTGCTGACTGTCCACAGTTCGATCCTGACCAGTTCAAGGTTGACTCAGCCTTCCATCTTTCTGAGGTTGGTAAAATGAGGACCCAGGTTATTGAGGGCAATATGCTGACTCTATAAACTGCTTAGAGAGGGCTGTAAAGCACTGTGACCACATTTTATGATGGTTTTGCCAAAATCTGGAACTTACCTCTGGTTTTCAGCAAAACTGTGCCTGTAGCAAACTACTGTTTTACTTAACTACTTCAGCATTCACTTTATGACCAGTTTTTGCTTTATGACTGCCAGGTTCATTTAACAACTACTGCAAAAAAAGGTTGTAAAATCAGGTTGGGAACATGAGTGACCCATCTTACAACTATCATGACATACGATCTTAATGGGTAGGCTCCATTATGGCCGTATGTTGAGTACTTAGCTGTATTGCAACATTTTCAGGCTTTCATTGCACAATCCTATCTATCCAAGAAGAGCTACAGTCGGCTTCCTCAGTTCGCTGGAATTTTAAGAATTGACTCCAGAATACATTTCCTCCTTCCTGTTTGTGCCCCACCCTGGATATCCATAAATTGAGTTGGCTGTGCTTTTGGCAACACAGGAAGCTGCCATGAATCAAGAGACATCCTTGACCCATTTCTGACATTCCCAGCAATGGCTTTCTGGAGCTTTCAGCAAATATCTTCCCCAGTCCTCTTTGAAGATACCAGAATTTAAAACTGGATTTTTTTTTTTTTTGTCATGACATGTACTGCTAAGTGACAAACCTACTGCGTCTCAATCAGTTTTTCAAGGACTTTAAAAAGAAAATTATAATCCCAGATTTTTTAAATTAATTACTCCCTCAGTCCTTGCTGACCGGTTCCAGGACAACATTGAGTAATGTCACATCTAACTACAAAGACAATTGTTTTAAATTACTTGGGGAGGGACACAGGAAATCAAGAGATTAATCTAAAAAAGTACAAACTCTGAATGTTTTCTTAATAAGGAGCTCTGTGTCAAGTGAACGACCTAGTGAAAACTCAAGATATGACTGGGCAACTCAACAATTCTATCATTTTAGAACTGAGCAGATGGAAAGAAGTATCATTCTGTTTATTAAATTGCTCTCCAAGTTAATTACACAGACCCAGAACATGAGAAAAAGTTGCAATTCCCTGATATGTGATTTATTTGCATTGCAACGCTGAACAAAATGCTCATCTATTAATCAGATTTCTGTAGATGCAGTATGATGCAATAAATACACTTGGATATCATCTACAAGAGATGATAGGAGAACTGGACTGTTCCATTCTACAATCTCACTGAAGTAGCAGTTTTCAAGCTTCTCATTTGAAAAACAGATCAAGTCATCCAACATCCTGTTTGTGAGAATTTGTGTCAAACTGACATTCCAATTTCAATAGTATACATAAAATCCTGCACCTTTATTTAGCCTTGTAACAGATTCTGCATACCTCTTGAAGTTACCAACACAATTCATTTCCTTTCCAAGTGAAAGATAGATTAATCTGAAATGAACTACGACAGGCAACTAGGAATAATGTTGCTACAGCCAACAAACATTTCCTAAACTGCTGGGTCAGTAAACCACTTAAGAAGTTGCCACTACTTACTTTACACCTGCTCTATAATTACTACAATGCCTCAAATGCAGGCTACCTATGAATAAGCACAGAGAACACCAGAACAATCTCACGGATTCCGAAGAAAAGAATAATACAAGAGAAGGTCCCTTTTTTTCATTTTAAGAAAAATTTGAAAGTAGGATTTGAAGAAAGCTAGGCTGCATTAATAGAGGGATAGAATCAAAATCACGTGACATGTTAATACCACTTTATAATGCCTTGGTAAGGCCATACTTGGAATACTGCATCCAGTTTTGCTCACCATGATGTAAAAAAGATGTTGAGACTATAGAAAGAGTGAAGAGAATAGAATAGAATAACAGAATTGGAAGGGATCTTGGAAGTCTTCTAATCCAACCCCCTGCTTAGGCAGGAAACCCTATACCATTCCAGAAAAATGGTTGTCCAGTCTCTTCTTAAAAACTTCTAGTATTGGAGCATCCACAACTTCTGGAGTCAAGTTGTTCTACCAATTAATTGTTCTAACTGTCAGAAAATTTCTCCTTACTTCTAGGTTGCTTCTCTCCTTGATTAGTTTCCATCCATTGCTTCTTGTCCTTGCTCTCAGGTGCTTTGGAGAATAGCTTCATTCCCTCTTCTTTGTGGCAACACCTGAGATATTGGAACACTGCTATCATGTCACTCCTAGTCCTTTTCATTAAACTAGACATACCCAATTCCAGCAACCGTTCTTTATATGTTTTAGCCTCCAGTCCCCTGATCATCTTTGTTGCTTTTCTATTCTATTCTGTTCTGTTTTGTTCTATTCTATTCTATAATTCTAATTCTAATTCTATTCTACGTTCGCAGATCTTGGTCAAAATTAAACTTGAATTGTGTTATCATTAACATAATACTTAGCCACAGAGAAGCAACAGGGGAATAGTGTGTTGGACACAGCAGTAAATAAAGTATTCCCAAAGCTGGCTTTTGATTTCTACAGATCTGAAGTTGTGTCTGCCATTGTCCAAGGAATAATGAGAACGCAGTATAGAAAGATTAGATAAGAAACAGAACAAAAATGAGAATATGGTACTTTGAAAAACTAACAGACATTGAAGCCTAATACAAAATATTTTTAAAAGAAAGAGGAAACTGAGCCGAAAATACAGTCACGTTCAAAAGTAAAAAGATTTAAAGTATAATTATAGGAAAGACCTAAGATGCAATTGATTGATTTCTCTAATTATTTCGATAGTAAAAAAGGACCTAATAACATTTCTAACTAATAAAATATTTCCAACTTACTTTCTTCTGTCATTTTAACTGCACCTGGACAATATTTATGAAATCTGGATTTCATTTTGGCAGTGAAGAATGTGTAGTTTTTCTTTGTTGGAGCAGGGAAGCTCAAAGGAGGAAAATACTTTCTGAAGGACTTTCTGTACCTTCCTTTTACCAGCTTTTTTCTGTACAAAGTGTCACCAAAATCTGTTTCATTAGCAACACATGGTTTTAGTAGACTCTTCTGAGAATCCCCAAGAGTTAATTTAATTTTTATAGCGAAGAATCATGTCAAAGTAATTTTTTATTATTTAACCAGGAGATCTCACCCTCAATTTTTAGTCCAAGAAATCGTATTTGTCACAATTTTTGGATTTTTTATTTAAAATTTACTAGGCAGTTCCTCTTAATTTTTCATGAATTCTTCCACAGTGATAGGATAAGCCAGACATGTCAAACCTGTGACGTCACATGATGTTGCACAATGTATCGGGATGGTTTTGCCATTGCCAGCAATGGGGTGGGCGTGACTTCCAGATGACATGTCCGGCCCGTGGGCCAGCAATTTGACACCCCTGAAATAAGCTGTCCTATGACATCCTTTTTTAAAAATTTTCAAATGTTTATCTTGTTATAAAAGGAAAATATACCCATACTGAAAGTAATAGAAATTTCAAACTACACGATGCTTAAAGATAGTTAGATTTTATTAAGTCTATTAGGCTATATTAAAAACCTGTGTTTTTCTACATACTCCCACCTTTATTTGTGCAACTCATAAAATTTCTAGACTCCCCTAACTCTGGCTTCCGAAAGCAGACACTCTGAAATATATTATTTCACCACACCAGCAAAATATTATCATTATACTGAGAACCGGGCATGAAGATATCACAATATTACCTGATCAATCAAATGCAAAATTATGTCAAAAGATTCAGATCTGAAAAGTTTTGTAGAAAAGTCAATATGACTAAAGGCTGCTTTAGTCTGAGAGGAACTTTCTAGTTGTAAATAAATCATATGCCCAGCAGCTTTAACAAAATAAGGCTTGAATTTATTTTGGGATGCTGTAACTGATGGAATAATTACATTACTACAAGGTTTAAGATATAATGTCTACATGCTTTAAATATCTTTCCATCACTGCTGAATGATAAATGGCACAGTATGTTCCGTTGTAGAAAATGGAAGAACAATATTTATGAGTTCGTTTCAAAGGTTCCTGATTTTATGCAACACATTCAAAAACTTGACGCTTACTGAAAGCAATGCATTAAAAGCCTCCCTATAAATCATTCGCTACACATACCCAAATAAAATAAAATAAAAGGAAAACCCTGCCCCACCAAAATAACTGTTAGAAATCTTTGGATTGTAATCTGTCACTTTTTAATGTCTTCCTTCCTTCAACAAATCAGAGAATCTGAGTCTTTTGGAAACAAAGGGGTTTTTTTTTTTTTTTTTTTTAAATTCCGAAAGCACATCATGTTCACTCAGTACCATGAGGGATGCAAAAGCAGTCAGAAAACCAATGATTTACCAGAATGCAAGCACAGGAGGAGGCACTCTGCTGCCTACATTCAAAACACTTCTGCTTTTCTTTGCCTTTTTTTAACTAGAAAGTGAATGGTTTTCAATTTAAGTACTAAGCAGCAATAATGCTGTTTTGCTTTCTACAAAAGCTTATACAGCTCTGTGTGGAGGGAGGGAGGGGGGGAGGGAGGGAGGGAGGGAGGGAGGGAGGGAGGGAGGAAGGAAGGAAGGAAGGAAGGAAGGAAGGAAGGAAGGAAGGAAGGAAGGAAGGAAGGAAGGAAGGAAGGAAGGAAGGAAGGAAGGAAGGAAAAATGGGGATCAAGGTCTTTGGACTGCTTTATTAGATTAGAAACATCTAAAAGATCTTCATTTTTTGACTGAGAATGGGAGAAAAAAATGTATTTGTTGTGACGCTGTTACTAGCTGGAGATATGTCTTATTTATATTATTAAGATACAAGAACTCAATTTAAGTACCACTCAAAAATATTTATCCACTAAGAAGGGTCTCAGAGGAAGAGAAGGAAACCTTATACAAATTGCCTAGAAAAAAGCTAAGTTATGTGCCTAGCCATGTTAGCCGAGAAGTACTGAGCTGGTA